TAGTTTAGAGAACCGCAGCAGTAGTGTGGAGGAAGAGGGTATTGTGGTACAAAATAACAGCAATATTACAGAGCCAGGTAATATAAACGATGAGAGCAACAGTGAGACAGAGTGCATAGATGAAGGAATTGGGACGAAAGACGGAGATGGCTCCAATAAAGAGGTAGACAAGACAGACACTGGTATAAATACCTTGAAAAACGCAAAACCTGAACATATTTGCAAATTCTGCGCTAAAGGAATATGCAAATATGGAAAATTAGGGGCAAAATGCAATTTTCTGCATCCTCGAAAATGCAGGAACATGTTGGCGAGGGGTACATGCCGTTTTGGAACAGGGTGTAGATACTTTCACCCTAAATTATGCCAATTTTCAATTAGGGACAAAAAATGCTACAATCTTCAGTGTCCGGAATTCCACGTGAGAGGTACAGAGCGTTATAGACGGGAAGATCAATATGACACTACTGGAAATATTTTAGAGGAAGGCAGAAACAGAGTAGAAAATATAAGAGAGAGGAACAATCAGATTACATTATATGCAAACATACACTACATTATATGCAAACATACATTACATTATATGCAAACATACACTACATTATATGCAAACATACACTACATTATATGCAAACATACACTACATTATATGCAAACATACACTACATTATATGCAAACATACACTACATTATATGAAAACATACACTACATTATATGCAAACATACAAGTCTTGAATCCAAAATCAAGAAATAAAGTTAAGTTCACCAATTGCCTCCAAATAGAATCGAACTCAATATTTGGTGCATTTACAGAAACCCACACAAAAGACCACATGGATAGTGAAATCTGGATTCCGAATTATAATCTATATAGATGTGACAGAGTAATTAGGTCAAGTGGAGGAGTAGGTCTGTATATTTAAGAAGAGCTGGCATGCACAGAGCTCCTGAACTCATCCAATGAGGTGGTAGAGGTTCTTGGAATCAAGGTAGAAAATATGAATATACTTATTATTTTAATATACAAACCGCCAGATGCAACAGTTGAGGAATTCACTGAACAGATCCACAAAATAGAGAATATCCTTGGTAACCTAGCAAACCCAGTACCAGATATCATCTTCCTTGGAGACTTCAATCTACCCAGTTTAAAATGGAGAATAGTAAACAATAACATCATAGCAGGAAGTCAACCTGGAAATAACCAACCACAGGTCAGAGAACTACTGAGATTCTGTAACAAATTCTCGCTCAGTCAGCAGATTACAGAACCAACTAGGAACGAGAACACGCTGGACCTGATATTCACGAACAGTGAGGAGCTAATCAGAGACATTACTGTCTCAGACACTACGTACTCGGACCACAAGCTCACTGAAGTGCAAACTAACATTAATAATGGTAGTAGGCCCAAGAGAAACAACAAGCGAGAAGGGCTATTCAATGAATTAAATTTTAATAATAAGAGGATAGACTGGGAGAAAATAAACAGGGAACTTACAAACATTCAATGGGAAAATGTTCTAAGAAATAAAAATCCTACACAAGGAATAGAAAAACTGACTTCTGAAGCATATGAAGTCTGTCTGAAACATGTTCCTTTGAGGAAAGCCAGAAAGAGGTCCAACGTAGAAAGAGAACGCAGACGACATTACAAAAGGAGGAAGAAATTAACGGAAATGCTTAAGCAGACACGACTCTCCATACAAAGAAGAAATAATTTAAACAGGGAGATTGAAGAAATCGAACAGAGACTGAAGCATTCCTATCAGATTGAAGAAAGGCAATTAGAACAGAAAGCTATTCAAGAAATAAAGAAAAACCCAAAATATTTCTTCACATATGCTAAATCAAAAGCGAAAACCTCTGCCAGTATTGGACCTATTCGTATTAGTGAAGGTTCATACACTGAGGATGACAAAGAAATTAGTGAAATCCTAAAAAAGCAGTATGAGAGCATGTTTAGCACTCCGATACTCAGCATGAAAGTGGAAGATTCGGACAATTTCTTTATGAATGATACTCAAACACCTGTAAATATAACTGATATCAACACGAGCGTGGCAGATTTTGAAAGAGAAATTGACAATATGCCAATGCACTCAGCCCCGGGTCCAGACTCATGGAATTCAATATTTATAAAGAAATGCAAAGTGCCAGTAGCACAGGCACTCAGTATAGTGTGGAGGAAGAGCTTGGACACAGGGGAGTTACCGGATGCGCTTAAAGCAGCAGACATTGCCCCTCTACACAAGGGTGGTAGCAAAGTATTGACAAAGAATTATAGACCAGTTGCACTAACATCCCACATAATAAAAGTATTTGAGAGAGAGATCAGAAGTCAGGTCACTAGATTCATGGAAACCAATGACCTCCTCAATCCAGGCCAACATGGATTTAGAGCAGGAAGATCATGCCTCTCACAGCTACTTGACCACTATGAAAAAAATCACTGACACATTAGAGGAAAAACATAATGCAGATGTCGTATACACAGATTTTGCAAAGGCATTCGACAAATGTCACCATGGAGTGATTGCACACAAAATGAGGTCAATGGGTATAACTGGTAAAGTAGGACGCTGGATACTCAATTTCCTGTCGAACAGAACACAAAGAGTAACAGTCAATCAAGTAAAATCGAGTCCGAGCGCAGTTAAAAGCTCTGTACCTCAAGCTACAGTCCTTGCACCACTGCTGTTCCTTATTCTCATATCAGATATAGCCAAAAACACAAGTCACAGCTTTATGTCATCCTTTGCAGATGATACAAAAATCAGCATGAAAATTACCTCTGCTGAAGACATTGATAAACTACAAACAGATATTAACAAAGTTTTCGATTGGGCAGCAGAAAATAACATGATGTTTAACGGTGATAAATTCCAGGTACTCAGATACGGCAAAAATGAGGATCTTAAACATAATACAGGGTACAAAACACAATCGAATCTGCCCATAGTAGGAAAACAGCATGTTAAGGATTTGGGAATAATGATGTCCGATGACCTAACGTTTAGGGAGCATAACCAAGCAAGTATTGCGTCAGCCAGAAAAATGATAGGATGGATTACGAGAACCTTCAAGTCCAGAGATCCCATCACAATGGTTGTACTCTTCAAATCACTTGTGTTGTTCCGTCTTGAGTACTGCTCAGTACTCACTTTCCCCTTCAGAGCAGGAGATATTGCTGAAATTGAGGGAATACAGAGAACATATACGGCACACATAGACGAGATAAAGCACCTAAATTATTGGGATCGTCTCAAAGCTCTCCAAATGTACTCACTAGAAAGGAGATAAGAGAGATACCAAATAATATACACATGGAAAATATTGGAGGGACAGGTCCCAAATCTGCACAGTAAAATAACAACGTACTGCAGTGAACGACATGGAAGAAAATGCAGAATAGAACCAGTGAAGAGCAGAGGTGCCATGGGCACAATCTGAGAACACTGTATAAACATCAGAGGTCCGCGGTTGTTCAACGTCCTCCCAGCGAGCATCAGAAATATTGCCGGAACAACCGTGGACATCTTCAAGAGAAAACTACATTGTTTCCTTCAAAGAGCGCCGGACCAACCGGGCTGTGGTGGATATGTGGGCCTGCGGGCCGCTCCAAGCAACAGCCTGGTGGACCAGACTCTCACAAGTCAAGCCTGGCCTCGGGCCGTGCTTGGGGAGTAGAAGACTTCCCAGAACCCCATCAACCAGGTATCAACCAGGTCAAGGGGACGGGAGTGAGGGATGGTGGGGAAGACGAGGGAGTGGGGAATGGTGGGGAGGACGAGGGGACTAGGGAGTAGCAGATGATTGGGAGGATGAGGGGACTTGGGAGGGGGAAATGGTGGGGGAGGACGAGGGGACGAGGGAGTGGGGAATGGTGTGGAGAACGAGGGAACTAGGGAGTGGCAGACGGTGGGGAGGATGAGGGGACCGGGGAGGGGGAAATGGTGAGGAGGACGAGGGGATGGGGGAGTGGAAAATGGGTGGGTGGACGAGGGGATCAGGGAGAGGGGAATGGTGGGGAGAACGGGGGGGGGGACAGGGGAGAGTGGCTGTGGCTCAGCAACGTGTGGCCGGGTACAGCTAGTTATCGATAATTTTAATTGGTTTTGATATTTAGTTATTTTAATAAGCCAAAATTTTGAGTAGAAAAGCGAGCAAAAAAATCACACATTGGTGCAGATTAATGCCATACGAACTAAAGGGCCAATTTAAATAGATTATTTATAATAGATGGTTAAAGGGGAGAGAAAAAACACAAGGAGTATAAAAGGAATCTGTATGTAGTGGGATGAACCCCGGACAAGGCCAGCAGTGGCCCTTGACCCCAGGCCCTTGACCCCAGGCCCTGACCCCTGGCCCTGACCCCTGGCCCTGACCCCAGGCCCTTGACCCCAGGCCCTGACCCCTGGCCCTGACCCCTGGCCCTGACCCCAGGCCAAACTATCCCATGGGTGGGTGTACCTGGGGCCTCAACTTTTCACGTACTCAGTACCGGCATCGAAAGCAGTTTATGAAACAATTTGTAAATTTGTTTTTAACATACGTGAACGTGTGTACACCGCACAATACTGGTGTAGAACCTTAAGAAATCTTAGACAAGTTAAATATGGTTTTAGTATGACAAAAGTTCCCTCCCCCCTACCACTATCCTAGGGGGGGGGATAATGTGGGAGGATTATTTGTACTTGATAAACGGAAGTACAGGAGAACCATCAACTCATCTCTGTCGAGTTTATTTATTATTATTTTCTACCACAGACGTGGCCACACATTTCCAATGCTAACCAGCATATATACATTTTCTTCTGTCCTCCATGGACAGGGTTAGAGATGTGTTAAACATATGGTTCCTGCAAGTATAATTTACCTAGGTAACTGTTTCTCAAGATGGATCATAGTTTAATGTTATTACTAAGAAGAGTTACAAATAATGATAGGAACAGAGAAGGAAGAATTAACGACATATGACGCTTAAAAAAACACTTACTTCAACTCAGGTTGTTTAGGAAGGCCGCGGGGGTCAATGAATGATCTTTCTACCATCATCAACTGGTCATTGACACGACGAACAACCAGAGGACTGAAATGTTGAATTTTGAGTAAAAATTCAATCATAAATGAATTTTCAACCACATCTTTAAAAAATGATCAAATGTTAAATACAAATATAAATCACAAATTTTCAAGTGTCTGAGTATGAAGTGTAATTTATTTACAATATGCAAAATAATCAGAAAATATATTTATTTAATAGTTCACTTGCAATGAGAAGTGGCGAGTTATAAGGGTTATACCGAGGTAGAGCCCCTATAGGTTCTTCCCTTAAACTATCGCACTATATATCTTGAGGTTATCTTGAGAGGATTTTGGGGCTTAGCGTCCCTGCGGCCCGGTCCTCCCCAGGCCTCCTTTTTGTTACACATCCCCAGGAAGCAGCCCGGAACAGCTGTCTAACTCCCAGGTACCTATTTACTGCTAGGTTAACAGGCGCATCAGGGTGAGAAACTCTGTCCATTTGTTTTCGCCTACACCGGGGATCGAACCCGAAACCTCCACTCTACAAATCCTGAGCACTGTCCACTCAGCCGTCAGATCACCAACAATTTTAAAATAAAAAGAAATAAAGTTGTGTCACATAGCTGGGAAAATACGACAGCAGGGAAGGTAAACTGGAGTGAATAATGAAACAGCAAGTCCCTATACGAGGTAAGTATTACCCCTAAAACTGTAAAATCTTTCCCTTATTATCTGGTATCCCCCTTCCGGGTTCGAGTCACTTCTGGGGTGTGAGTTTTCAGTTGCATATTGTCCTGGGGACCATTCAGGCTTGTTCGCATTTGTGTTCCTCACGTGTGCCCCAAAGAATGAGGTGATTTGGTAAAATGCTATGCCCAAGATTACTATCCGAGTGCCGGCGGTGGGGTGGTTCAAATAGCCTCGGCTATCACCTCATTTTGTCCGGTCGTGATGGTCAAGTGGATTAAGGCGTCTTGTACATACCAGTTGCGTGGCTCCTGGGAGTATGGGTTCGAGTCACTTCTGGGGTGTGAGTTTTCAGTTGCATATTGTCCTGGGGACCATTCAGGCTTGTTCGCATATATATATATATATATATATATATATATATATATATATATATATATATATATATATATATATATATATATATATATATATATATATATATGACATATATATATATATATATGTTGTACTATGTAGCCAGAACGTCGTACTCGGCCTACTATGCAAGGCCCGATTTGCCTAATAAGCCAAGTTTTCCTGACTTAATATATTTTCTCACATTTTTTTCTTATGAAATGATAAAGCTACTTATTTCATTATGTATGAGGTCTTTTTTTTTATTGGAGTTAAAATTAACGTAGATATATAACCGAACCGAACCTAACCTAACCTATCTTTATAGGATAGGTTAGGTTAGGTAACCGAAAAAGTTAGGTTAGGTAGGTTAGGTAGTCGAAAAACAATTAATTCATGAAAACTTGGCTTATTAGGCAAATCGGGCCTTGCATAGTAGGCTGAGAAGTGCGTTCTGGCTATTAGGTACGACATATATATATATATATATATATATATATATATATATATATATATATATATATATATATATATATATATATATATATATATATATATATATATATATATATATATATATATATATATATGACAAAGTCTGTATTACATATGTGAACCGTAAATCACTACAAGATCTAATGACCCAACCAGGATTCGAACCTATGCCGTCCAGGATCCATCCCGTCTTCAAAAGACCCAAAAGTGATTCCATGCAGCTGCCAAACGCCCTGTTTATGAATGAAAGACGGTTTACACACGACTGACACCTGATTTCGTTCGAACACTTCCAGAACAAGTGCTTCACTGACAAATTTTGTTCGAACCACAACGCTATAAATGCTTCTCCCACGCACTACAACTACATATAAACGCCAACAGACCCTAAACACCTAACCTATGCCTATATATGCATAATATGCTAATATATTATAATAATAATTATATATGAGAAAATTCCTCTTTTCAATGACAAGTTTTCAAGAACAAGAACAGCGTGTAAAAATTTATGAATGAGTCTGTGGGGTCGACTGCTGGATCTAATGGACTTGAGTCGAGGACGGGTTGCAGGATCATCCCCAAGCTGTAATCACATCAATGATCGTCAGACGATCATATTTGTCCAACGAATACACTCACACACACACACAGAGGCATTACATATATTTGAAATATGCTTATATCTAGTATCACTAACCTTTTCAGGTCTAGAGATTCCAGCGCCTTATTGAAGATAAAAGCACTCGTATTGAACGTCTGTCCAGCATCAGTAAAGTACTCTGAAATTCAAGAACTCATTATTAAAGCCACGTATGGAACTCCCTGCTTAATAAAGAACCGTGTTACTCAATATATTGTCACATAATTACGCTCAATATTCGGGCACTGGCTTCTCTTAAACAGTCATCAATAACACTACGTCCATTCAGGAATTCATGTAAATAGCCCATGTGTATATTGTATAATAAAAGTGCATCATATTGTGTAACACAACAGTGTGTTCGTTCATTTGTGGCATTCCAGCACTAGCCCTTGTGAGGACTCACTGTATAATAACCGAGCCAGCAGTTTATGATCACGCCACCCACCCTCCAGGGGCCAGATTCACGAAAGCACTTACGAACCTGTACATCTTTTCTCAATCTTTGGCGGCTTTGTTTACAATTATTAAACAGTTAATGAGCTCCGAAGCACCAGGAGGCTGTTTATAACAATAACAACAGTTAAATGGGACGTTTTCATGCTTGTAAACTGTTTAATAAATGTAACCAAAGCCGTCAAAGATTGAGGAAAGATGTAAACATTCGTAAGTGCTTGCGTAAGTCCTTTCGTGAATCTGGCCCCAGATAGTCAACCTAGTCAGTGTCAGGTTGGGCGAGCTTCCTCAAGTCAGTCAACTCTGGCGATTGTCTGGAGTAACGCCTCTCTTTCTTTGTTAATTGTTCCTGCAGTTCAGTAAGAGTTGTGGCGTTGGTACAATATATATATTTTAGCTCTTTCCATATCATACTTTACTTTCAGCGTCAGGCCACTGAAGTTGTAATTAGTGTTAATATAAAAAAAAAAATAAAAAACATTATGTGTAGAAAGACAGTTGTATTGTGAGTGTTAAAGTAATTTATTGTTTAATTAAATTAACTTTTGTTTTAACTTATCATTTTTTACTTTACTCCTGTTTCCCCATATTCACATTGAAGTTTATATGCGGCTTTATTGTTTTATGCTACATTAACTGGGCATAACCACAGTATCTCACTTACATCACCCACACCTGACCCCCCGTCAACACTACCACCCACACCTGACCCCCGTCAACACCTCCACCCACACCTGACCCCCCCGACAACACCACCACCCACACCTGACCCCCGTCAACACCGCCACCCACACCTGACCCCCATCAACACCACCACCCACACCTGACCCCCCGTCAACACCACCACCCACACCTGACCCCCGTAAAGACCACCACCCACACCTGACCCCCGTCAACACCGCCACCCACACCTGACCCCCCGTCAACACCACCACCTACTCCTGACCCCCCCGTCAACACCACCTCCCACACCTGACTGAACAAAGAACATCAGCAAGAAAGAGTATACACAGTTTAATGAAACAAACAGGAAAGGTTCTTCACCCTTGCATGTTAAAGTGATGCTTAAGATGCGAAACATAAACAAACACAACAACCTGTCCTCTTACAAATTATGTCTGAATTTGGCCGTTTACCCATATGGCTGAAAATTTTCATAATTTTAAAATGAAAAAAATGGAAATGAATTTGGGATTATTTTTTCCAAAACAGTATGTTTAGGGTCCTCTGGTAAGTTAGGAGGAAATTTAGGAAATTCTCCTAAACTTTCAAAACGTTATGAAAAAATTAATTGAATGTTTCCTCTCCTAACTTTTCCCAGTAAGCCCGAGGACAAACAGAAAAAGGGACAGTACATCACTTGCGTGAACCGATTTCATTTCAAATTACGTCCATTTTTGGCCATTGCGCACATATGAGTGAAAAGCGACGTTATTTTTAAAGAGGACGAGTTGGACAAACAACTTTATTTCCATACTTAGCGTAATATTTTGCGAACGGATAAGATCCCCATAGCGCTGGGCGATATGGTCCTGGGCTCTCTTGATAAAGGCCGCGTATGAGACCAAAGAAAACGGGAGCACCTGAGGTGTCCAAGAAGAGAACGTTCACATAGCCTTGAGTAATGAGAAATTATCATATATTATAATTTCAAATTAAATCTGTATTATAATCATAAGACTGTAAAGAAAATCGTACAAAAGGTTTTAAGGCATACCTTAGACTCCGAGAGCACCACAGCGAGGTCCCCCCACATGGCTGCCACAGCAGAGTGGAAGTGGAAGCCTTTGTCATATATTTCATCCACCACAGCGAAGGTTTCATACAGTGTGTGGTACATGGGTTCTCCAATGGTACTCTGTACGAATATTTATAAGTATATTGGGTTTGTGAGAGTACACAACATTGGTGTTCTTACAGTGTTGCAAAGCCACTAACACATATTTAACTATTTTAAGATTAAAGTTATACATCAAAAGTTTCTAATTTAAGAACTTCACTACACTTCATACAATTCAGTTATTCTTCTTGCTCTGCAGTATTTTAATCGTCAGTGGAAAATGTAGAGTAAAAACTAAATATTAGAATATAACGGTTCAAGAGCTTCACATGACGTAGGCGGCCTTTTTTCCCGCCAAAACCGTTAGTCATGGCGTCTGTTTGGTTAATAAACCATTCAAACACAAGAAAATAAAAAAATATTGTTATTATGCAGACAAAAAGAGCACAATACCGTGCCTAAAAATTCAACATCAATGCACAACTCTGAAAATTACGGAATTGACAAATTTTAGGTCCATCCTGAATCATTATCAAGTACTAAATATTTATTATTATTAACGTCTTTATTGACAAAATTAATTAAAATTTTGCCTAATCTAAGGATTTCAATAAGTCGTATTAAAGTAAGAATAATGCTGGTATTCACTGTCACACAGGATATAGGGTCATACACAAGACAATAGGTTTAAACTGTAGGCTGAAGCACATATATATCATGGTTACAATCAATGTTTTAATGTCTGAATATGTAAAAACAACTTTCTACTGTGCACTGCCACACAAGGGCAGGGATGGGTTCATATGGACTTAATACTGATGAACAGTGGACCGAAACGTCTTCACTTCTATTATTCTCAGATCTGCAGGTTGTGTCTTAGTTTTATTTATTTTAATTATATTCGGTTTCCGCCTCTTGTTGCAATTATGGGGGCTGTTGCCTCGGAGGAGATTTCTTTTTTTGTTGTATTTTTTGCTTAATCTGATGCAGCACATTTGCAAGTAAACAGTTTGTCAAAATCCTTTGTTTGATAAACTGTGCATGGAGTCTGCCTCAACAATCTCGCTCTGCTTATTTTCCTCTGTCTCTCCCTCTGCCCCCCCCCTCTCTCTCTCTCTCTCTCTCCTCATTTCTGTGTCTGATTCTTTGTGAGTGTCTTATTCTATCCGTCTGTCCATTTGTCTCTCTCTCATTCTGTATGTCTATCTGTCTAGGTCTAATGTGTCGCTCTGTGTCTCTATATTGTTCCTGTCTGTCTTACTCTGTCCCTGTCTGTCTCATGCTTTGTGTTCTACATACATCTTGAGGTTATCTTGAGATGATTTCGGGGTTTTAGTGTCCCCGCGGCCCGGTCCTCGACCAGGCCTCCATTCCCAGGAAGCAGCTGTGACGGCTGACTAACTCCCAGGTACCTATTTACTGCTAGGTAACAGGGGCTGAATCAGGGTGAAAGAAACTCTGCCCATTGTTTCTCGCCGGCGCCTGGGATCGAACCCAGGACCACAGGACCACAAGTCCAGCGTGCTGTCCGCTCGGCCGACCGGCTCTATATATATATATATATATATATATATATATATATATATATATATATATATATATATATATATATATATATATATATATATATATATATATATATATATATATATATATATATATATATATATATATATATATATATATATATATATATATATATATATATATATATATATATATATATATATATATATATATATATATATATATATATATATGGTAATTTCGGAGTATTTAAATACACCAAAGATCATCACCTCCCAAGAGCACCAGAGCAAGTGAGGGGTCATTTAGACGTTAATTTCATCAAGTCCCTGTTAATATGGGAAGACACAGTGTCTATGCTTAAGGCACAACTCTTCTAAACACGAGAGTGAAGTATACAACTTTAGAACACTTTCCCACCAGGAGACTCGAACCCTAGCCAGCACAGAAGCCTTCCAGCAACTGGCATAACAGGTACGCCTTAACCCACTCCACCACCCACTCAGACTCTTAAAAGAGATGGTAATTTCGGAGTATTTAAATACACCAAAGATCATCACCTCCCAAGAGCACCAGAGCAAGTGAGGGGTCATTTAGACGTTAATTTCATCAAGTCCCTGTTAATATGGGAAGACACAGTGTCTATGCTTAAGGCACAACTCTTCTAAACACGAGAGTGAAGTATACAACTTTAGAACACTTTCCCACCAGGAGACTCGAACCCTAGCCAGCACAGAAGCCTTCCAGCAACTGGCATAACAGGTACGCCTTAACCCACTCCACCACCCACTCAGACTCTTAAAAGAGATGGTAATTTCGGAGTATTTAAATACACCAAAGATCATCACCTCCCAAGAGCACCAGAGCAAGTGAGGGGTCATTTAGACGTTAATTTCATCAAGTCCCTGTTAATATGGGAAGACACAGTGTCTATGCTTAAGGCACAACTCTTCTAAACACGAGAGTGAAGTATACAACTTTAGAACACTTTCCCACCAGGAGACTCGAACCCTAGCCAGCACAGAAGCCTTCCAGCAACTGGCATAACAGGTACGCCTTAACCCACTCCACCACCCACTCAGACTCTTAAAAGAGATGGTAATTTCGGAGTATTTAAATACACCAAAGATCATCACCTCCCAAGAGCACCAGAGCAAGTGAGGGGTCATTTAGACGTTAATTTCATCAAGTCCCTGTTAATATGGGAAGACACAGTGTCTATGCTTAAGGCACAACTCTTCTAAACACGAGAGTGAAGTATACAACTTTAGAACACTTTCCCACCAGGAGACTCGAACCCTAGCCAGCACAGAAGCCTTCCAGCAACTGGCATAACAGGTACGCCTTAACCCACTCCACCACCCACTCAGACTCTTAAAAGAGATGGTAATTTCGGAGTATTTAAATACACCAAAGATCATCACCTCCCAAGAGCACCAGAGCAAGTGAGGGGTCATTTAGACGTTAATTTCATCAAGTCCCTGTTAATATGGGAAGACACAGTGTCTATGCTTAAGGCACAACTCTTCTAAACACGAGACGGAGTATTTTACACCAAAGATCATCATGAAATTAACGTCTAAATGACCCCTCACTTGCTCTGGTGCTCTTGGGAGGTGATGATCTTTGGTGTATTTAAATACTCCGAAATTACCATCTCTTTTAAGAGTCTGAGTGGGTGGTGGAGTGGGTTAAGGCGTACCTGTTATGCCAGTTGCTGGAAGGCTTCTGTGCTGGCTAGGGTTCGAGTCTCCTGGTGGGAAAGTGTTCTAAAGTTGTATACTTCACTCTCGTGTTTAGAAGAGTTGTGCCTTAAGCATAGACACTGTGTCTTTCCATATTAACAGGGACTTGATGAAATTAACGTCTAAATGACCCCTCACTTGCTCTGGTGCTCTTGGGAGGTGATGATCTTTGGTGTATTTAAATACTCCGAAATTACCATCTCTTTTAAGAGTCTGAGTGGGTGGTGGAGTGGGTTAAGGCGTACCTGTTATGCCAGTTGCTGGAAGGCTTCTGTGCTGGCTAGGGTTCGAGTCTCCTGGTGGGAAAGTGTTCTAAAGTTGTATACTTCACTCTCGTGTTTAGAAGAGTTGTGCCTTAAGCATAGACACTGTGTCTTCCCATATTAACAGGGACTTGATGAAATTAACGTCTAAATGACCCCTCACTTGCTCTGGTGCTCTTGGGAGGTGATGATCTTTGGTGTATTTAAATACTCCGAAATTACCATCTCTTTTAAGAGTCTGAGTGGGTGGTGGAGTGGGTTAAGGCGTACCTGTTATGCCAGTTGCTGGAAGGCTTCTGTGCTGGCTAGGGTTCGAGTCTCCTGGTGGGAAAGTGTTCTAAAGTTGTATACTTCACTCTCGTGTTTAGAAGAGTTGTGCCTTAAGCATAGACACTGTGTCTTCCCATATTAACAGGGACTTGATGAAATTAACGTCTAAATGACCCCTCACTTGCTCTGGTGCTCTTGGGAGGTGATGATCTTTGGTGTATTTAAATACTCCGAAATTACCATCTCTTTTAAGAGTCTGAGTGGGTGGTGGAGTGGGTTAAGGCGTACCTGTTATGCCAGTTGCTGGAAGGCTTCTGTGCTGGCTAGGGTTCGAGTCTCCTGGTGGGAAAGTGTTCTAAAGTTGTATACTTCACTCTCGTGTTTAGAAGAGTTGTGCCTTAAGCATAGACACTGTGTCTTCCCATATTAACAGGGACTTGATGAAATTAACGTCTAAATGACCCCTCACTTGCTCTGGTGCTCTTGGGAGGTGATGATCTTTGGTGTATTTAAATACTCCGAAATTACCATCTCTTTTAAGAGTCTGAGTGGGTGGTGGAGTGGGTTAAGGCGTACCTGTTATGCCAGTTGCTGGAAGGCTTCTGTGCTGGCTAGGGTTCGAGTCTCCTGGTGGGAAAGTGTTCTAAAGTTGTATACTTCACTCTCGTGTTTAGAAGAGTTGTGCCTTAAGCATAGACACTGTGTCTTCCCATATTAACAGGGACTTGATGAAATTAACGTCTAAATGACCCCTCACTTGCTCTGGTGCTCTTGGGAGGTGATGATCTTTGGTGTATTTAAATACTCCGAAATTACCATCTCTTTTAAGAGTCTGAGTGGGTGGTGGAGTGGGTTAAGGCGTACCTGTTATGCCAGTTGCTGGAAGGCTTCTGTGCTGGCTAGGGTTCGAGTCTCCTGGTGGGAAAGTGTTCTAAAGTTGTATACTTCACTCTCGTGTTTAGAAGAGTTGTGCCTTAAGCATAGACACTGTGTCTTCCCATATTAACAGGGACTTGATGAAATTAACGTCTAAATGACCCCTCACTTGCTCTGGTGCTCTTGGGAGGTGATGATCTTTGGTGTATTTAAATACTCCGAAATTACCATCTCTTTTAAGAGTCTGAGTGGGTGGTGGAGTGGGTTAAGGCGTACCTGTTATGCCAGTTGCTGGAAGGCTTCTGTGCTGGCTAGGGTTCGAGTCTCCTGGTGGGAAAGTGTTCTAAAGTTGTATACTTCACTCTCGTGTTTAGAAGAGTTGTGCCTTAAGCATAGACACTGTGTCTTCCCATAT